CACAACAAAGAATTATATAGTTCCCAAATGTCAATAGTGCCAATATTAAGAACCTTCACAAGAGTCATGGCAAAAATATAAAAGTAGATATATATCTAGAAAGTAAAAATTACATATCTACAATAATTGGGTAAAAGATGACGTGAAAAAAGAAAGATAAATTTAAAATAAACCCACTTCAGGTTTCTGGCTTGTGCAGTGAAGTAAATTGTATACCAGTCGCTGAAGACTGTGAATTTGGAGAAAGAAGATTTAGAGTTTGTGTTTAGATGAATTGAGCTTAAGATACCTTTCAACATCAAGTTAAGCAGTCATATATCTGACTCGAATTTCAAAGAAATACCCTGCTCAGAATACTACTCACAAGCCAAATAAAATAAGAGTTGTTCTATGGAAAAAGATTGTTGACGATAAATGAGGCAAAAGATTACACTAATTGTATGTGTGACTGAGAGATGATAAATCAGTGAATATAATGACTTCTGGAAATTTGAATATGAGCTGGGCAATGGCTAAGAGGAAAGTAAAGTCAAAGAGATTTTTAGAGTCTTTTGTTTGTAGATTGGGAAAATGTTGGGAATATTTAAAAGCTGGATAAGAAAGATCTGTTTAAATTATATTGAAAAAACAAGTAGGAGAAAGAATAATGAAATGACAAGATTTCTCTTCTCCAAAATACAAATTCTTCTTGACATGTTCATTTGGATGTCTCAAAAATCATTTCAAATGTGCATATTAAAAACTGAGCTTTATGTTCTTTCTCCTGTGGTGAATCCTTTCTCAAAAGACAGCACCTTGCAACCATTTTGACAAAGCAGTAATGGAGTCAGACTTGATAACCCCCCTCAGCTACCCACATACCAACTCCATTCTGAGTCTCTCAGATTAGTTCACTTTTCTCCACAAGCCCACAGCACACAGCAGCCTCGTCAAAGCCATCACTTTCTCTCCTACACTGTATAATAGCCTCCTAATTGTTTTCTTTCCTTTTATGAGTTGTTCTTCCACTCTATAGCCACAAAATCTGATTATGTCATCCCACAGTTTAAAACTCTTTAGTGAGTTTTCATTTTACTTGAGGATAAAAAACTCAAATTCTCAACATTGCCTCCAAAGCCTTTTTTACGTTTCAAGCCTCAGTTGACAGCAAGTTGTTCCTTATTCTTCCTGCTGATCTTTCAATCATATTTCTACCTGGCCTGTGGACAAGCTGTTCTCTCTACTGGAACCTCTCTTCATTCCCTACTCCCTGTACAGCCTTTAAATTGAAACTCAGAAGCCATTTCCTCAATGAAGTATTGCCAAACTTGATAAGTCAATGTCCTGTTTAATCGTAGCCACAGACCCGTATATTTTTCCTTCATTGTACCTCTCCTTGAGATGATTCTACATCTGTTTTTGAGTGTATGTGATTATATCTTTGTGTGTCTCTCACACTCTAGGAGAGTCCAGACTCTGCTTGATTTTCCAACCTCTTACATGGCTAGGGTCCAGCATGGCATGTGATGCTTAGGAAGCATTCATAATTGCCTGTTAATGTATCTTTTTAACAACTCTATGAAATGAGTTTAGTTGTACTCATAGACCATTTTCTTCTTCTGTAACAGAATACTACAAATGGGTGATTTAATAAAGAAAAGAACAGTATTTGGCTCATAGTCCTAGAGGGTGGAAAGTAGAAGATCATGGTGCTGTCATCGGGTAAGGGTCATCCCATAGTGGAAAGGTAGAAGGCAGGAATAAGCCCATGAGCCAGAAAGAGCACACTGACGCCCACTCCCATGATACGTCATGACCTAATCACCTCATAAAGCCCCTACCCCTCATACCATTATAACGGCAATTAAATTTCTATGTGATAATTGGAGGAGACTTTCAAACCATAGAAGTTACTTCTTTGTTGTATCGTGGTCTTTGTTTCTCACTGATGATAAATCTACCCCCCTAAGGATTTAATTAATTTGCACAAGAATAAAAACTTCAGTGATGAACCAGTATTTAGATATACTTCTCAACTAAATTACTGCCTTTTTGACACCGCCACAATGCCCCTTAAATTTAGTACATTTTCAGTAAGATGTGCAGATCAAATGACTCTCTAGACTAATTAAAATTTTGAGTATGCCTTTCTCATAATTCCCACCAGATTTTGTTTTATATCACCAACTTTAACACATGGTAAGCTTCAAATGGTACTATAAGAGATGAAGTAATTAATATTAAAATTTTTAATTGCTTACCCTGAGAACTGTGTGCTTTTTATAAGTGCTTTCCAGTAGCACTTACATTTTACTATAACTTGATAAAGTGTGTTCACTTAAAATCCTAATTGTCAAGAGTGTATAATCCATTTGTGAAAGGACTCAGAATGAGGTTGTTCTGAGAATTAATGTTCTAAATTGGAAATCATAATAAGTGAAACTCATTTTCATTTACCATATCATATTCAGAATGCTAAATTCAACATGCACCAAAGATATGCCAGCTGTAACCAGAAAGTTCTGAGAAAGTAATTGAGAATTTGCCTATGGAAATGATAAACTATGTTATCTAGCCACTTTAGCCACACAAAAAGAGGCTAGAATTTAATGTATTCTAGCATCATCATATTTTGTCATATTCATTACTTAAAAATCACTATTTTTCAATGTAGAATGTTATTTACTATGTGAACATGAAAACTATAATACCTGCACTGCCTCCTAACATCAACTCCACTAAAATGCTAGGCCAGGTTTCTTTTTCTTTCTTTCTTTTTTTTTTTTTAAAAGAGGATTGTCAGAGGTTTTTATTTTTTTCTTTTCCTTTTTGCTAAAATACCAACACTTTATTTTTATCTTTAATGAGAATTTTTAAAATTAAATCATAACTAGGTACATTACCTCATTTATGGGGTACAATTGGCTGATTTTATATATGATTTGGAATGTTATCCAGTTTGATGTAAGCGTTTCTTTGTAAACTAACTATGGTATTCCCAGTTATCCCTACTTTATCAGAGTTCTTACTGCTTTTAGTGTCTGCACTAGAAATTAGTCACTTGATCAATTTCTACCTTGTACTATTCATGACTTCATATTATTTCACTGATGTTTCTAGAACAGACTAGAAAGGAGAGTCGAGGGGGAGGGGGAATCCCACTTATTGAATACTTATTCAATTGAAAGCAATGAGTAAGAAATTAAAAATACCATTTAATCCTTACAAAAGCCTATGAGATTAATGTGTCCCTATTACAAAAAGGTAGAGTTGAAAATGATACTTCACTAATAGGAGTGTAAGTTTACTGATTTTGAGTAAATTAAGAGTTTGGTTTCTTTTCCAATAAGGTCACAAATTTAAAAAAATAATAATAAGGTCATAAATGGCAAAAATATACAACCCTGCAAATGTCACTGCTGTATCTTATACCAGGTCATAAAAGCATAGGTCTAATTCTTAATTAATATAGCCTGATCCAATATAGCCTTCTTAATCAGTTTTACTTTGTTTCTTCTTTTAAAACTTTTGGATTAATATAAGGGTACATATGATTAGTGTACACTGTTTGTATTCATAAAGTGAAGTCCAAGTTGTAGTTGATTCCCTCACCCAAGAGGTGTGCCACGTACACCTGTACCCATTAGGAGGGAGCTTATAGACCTCCCTCTCCCATTCTTGAATTATGTTTTTCTCTCTCATGGACAATGTTTCTTATAAAGTTTCTCTTTCTGGTGGATTTAAAAAAGTAAATACTAAGTATGTATTATCATTTTATTGAATGGTATCATAAAATAAATTTAGGGTTTGTTGAGAAGTTTCTAGTGGCTGTATTTTATAGTAAAATCATCAACAAATGTCCACTTGCAATGAAAAATGGCCAGTGGCTGTCTGACTTTCAAGTATCTTCAGAAACCTGATTTAAAACATTTGCATAAGCTTAACAATAGAACAGCACTGGCCTGTGTATTGTTAACCTTTGTATAATAAAATCAACTGGGATTATTAGCCCAACCCATGCAAGACTCGTCCATGATTTGAATGATGAACATGTTGTTAGTCCAGCTTACCTCAGAAAATCAGCAATTTTATTTGGTAGCTCAAATCCTCTGGCTAATGTTTGTGTGTTTGTTGGCTTGTTTGCTTTAAATTCATGATTCATTTTATTATGTCAAGCTAACTATTTGCTTTAGCTTAGGATATAGTAAAATAAAAGGCTAAATTCACAGAGCGCCATGGTGTCTGGAATTAGGAAATAATTTGCCTTTGTTATTCTTGAAGGAGAGGAAGTAGTTTTCTTTTAAAATGTTAGTGCAGGGTTTTCTCAAAGAGGTCAATTTGAAACTGATGTTTAACCTAGAGAGGCTTCCATGAATTTCTAATGGCGTTTTACAAAGAGTATGTTTCCTGATTTAATAATCAATAGGATTGGAGGGGTATTTTAATATGACTCTGAATATAACACACAGTCCTATGAAAGGAAGAAAGTGAAGAAGGGAGGGAAGGAGGAAAGGGGAAAGAAAAGAGAAGAAAAGGCAGACTGTGTTATTCAAATTTTATGTCATAAGACTATGTGGATGTGAAGTCAAGGATTGTAAAGTAGCTGTCAGACACAAATATGCACTTAGTAAACCATTATTTTTAGTCTGATGCCAATGATGTAATAATAGTCATTGTCACTGCCATTTACTGAGTTGTAACCAGCTGTGCACAGAGGTAGGCATTATTCACAATGTCATCTGCTCTCATCACATCCTAAGAAGTACATATGACTATAAAACACATTTTACAGATGAAGAACCTGCAGCTCAGAGAGAACTGTGGACCTTGAGGAAGGTGGCGGAATAGAAAGGCAAAGCTAAAAATAACCCTCTCTGATCTGAGATTCCAGAGTTGAAAGTCCATTACATGCCACTCATTTTATTTCTTCCATTCTTCATTTTGTTATTCTATTTTGTGGAGAGATACACATTTAAAAACACATTTCTTCTGTTTGCAGAAGAAAATCACCTTTTGGGGAGTTAGTGCTGCGGAGCCATGGTTGGCCAGCTGAGCGAAGGGGCCATTGCGGCCATAATGCAACAGGGGGACACATCCATAAAACCCATCCTCCAAGTCATTAACGTCCGTCCCATTACCACAGGGAATAGTCCACCCCGCTATCGACTTCTTATGAGTGATGGATTGAACACTCTATCCTCTTTCATGTTGGCAACTCAGTTGAACCCTCTAGTTGAGCAAGAACGTTTGTCCAGCAACTGTATTTGCCAGATTAACCAATTTATTGTCAACACTCTGAAAGATGGAAGGAGAGTAGTTATTTTGATGGAGTTAGAAGTTTTGAAATCAGCTGAAGCGGTTGGATTAAAGATTGGCAATCCAGTGCCTTATAATGAAGGGCATGGGCAGCAGCAAGTAGTTCCTTCTCCAGCTACAGCAGCCAGTCCATCAACCAGCCGGCCCCAGCCACAGAATGGGAGCTTAGGAATGGGTTCCGCTGTTTCTAAGTCTTTTGGTGCCTCTAAGACATTTGGAAAACCCGGAGGTATGAGCCTCCCAAACACTTCTGGGGGAACACAGGCCAAGGTGGTGCCCATTGCCAGCCTTACTCCTTACCAGTCCAAGTGGACTATTTGTGCTCGTGTTACCAACAAAAGTCAGATCCGTACCTGGAGCAATTCCCGAGGGGAAGGGAAGCTTTTCTCTGTAGAACTAGTTGATCAAAGTGGTGAAATTAGAGCTACAGCTTTCAATGATCAAGTGGACAAGTTCTTTCCCCTTATTGAAGTGAACAAGGTTTATTATTTCACGAAAGGTACGCTGAAGATTGCTAACAAACAATTCTCAGCTGTTAAAAACGACTACGAGATGACCTTCAGTAATGATACT